CCGTGGGCCGTCTCCCGCCCCCGGAAGCCCCTGCCCTGGAGCCGGACTGCCTGTTTTCAGCTCCCGGCTCCCGGCTCCCATTTATACGCTGTCCGAATCTGGGCAAGTTATATAACCTCTCATGGCCTCAGCTGCTTCATCTGTGAAATAGGGGTAACAGCATGTAACTCACGGGGCTGAGAGCTGAAGGCGGAAGACGTGCGAAGTGCTAGAACCGTGCCTGGCAGATAGTGAGTACTATCCTTTTTTCTTTAAAATTATTTATTATTATTATTTAATTTGACTAGAGACAAAGAGGGAAAGTGAGAAAGCAAGCCACCAGGTCTGGGACTTGAACCGCGGTAGGCTGTGTGGGAGTCCAGCACCCCTGCCTCAGTGAACGGCTGCTCGAGGCGGTCAGGGCGGCCGCGGTGAGGCCGTAAGAGGAGACCAACGAATTCCACGGAAGGCATCACCTGGCCGCCCCTCCCTGAACCAGCTCGCCCTCTGCCGTGGGGTGGGCGGCTCCGCAGCCGTCACCTTTGCCACCTCCCTTACCCTCCAATCTCACCATCCAAGAGGGGAGACGGGCTTAGCTGGGGAGGTCCCGAGCAAGGCCAGCCCCTCTGGGGAAAGCCTCAAAGACAGAATCAAGACAGAGGACTTGTTTGCGAGGGCAATCTGAACCACGTGGCTCCAACACGGCACTTCACCTCCCCCTCTGTGCCTTGGGACCCCCTTCTGTACCAGCAGGGGCCGAACCAGATGGTCACCGAGGGCTGACCTTCTAGGGTCCTACGACTTCCGGCACGCACCTGCCAGGAGGCATCGTTTTACTGCTCTCCTACAGCATGAAAAGCAGGTCGAAATGCCAGAAGCACTTCAGTCCTAACGAGGAGCCACAGCATGTGACGTGAATCAGAGTTCAGCTGGTCAGCACAGGCACTGGCTCCTTGCCCTCCCTGGCACTTGGCCCGACCCAGGTAGGTCACTCCTCCAACTTCGGCACACCTGTCTGAGAAGGGCAGGTCTCATCATTCTACCAACCTGCTGATTCCGGGCCTGGCCCTTTCTAACAGAGCCCCCAGGAGGGTAAAGAGCCAGGGCATCCTCTGAGCTGGAGGACGGAGCATTTATGACGTCGAACCATCTGCTTGCATATGCCACACTTCCTCCCCACCCCCCTTCCTTTACGAAGTCCTAGACACTGAGAAAACCACGAAATGAAATGGAAACTGAATTTAAGTCAACGAAATCCACTCAGCGGGGTCGGGTTTAAGTCAGGCCTGCTTTTGTCCCATTGGCTCTGGTGTTCCTGAGACCCGCGCAGGTTTAAGACGATATTCCGGCCTTGTAGCCCTGCCTTCTGAACTCGGCACCGGCCCACCTGGCTTCCTGTAGGAGACGCGCTCCTCCACAGTTACAGCGGGGTCACTAGGCTAGCGGGGACGCTCGCACTCACCACCTCGTGAGACACAGTGCTCCGTGAACACGGCAGACAGAGGGAAACGCAAACACGCAAATTTTGTTGTTTTGTTCTGTTTTTATGAGACAAAGGGGAAGAGAGAGGAGAGGGACAGAGACAGACAGGTTTTTTGTTGTTTGTTTGTTTTTGAGTTTTTTTGCTATAAGGCTCATGCACTCACCAGAGACAGAAAGCGTGGCATCACCCTCAGCAGGATAGCTGTGCCACGATCCCTTTTCCACTCCCTTTCAGGATTTTGAGCATGCTCGCACGCATGCCCAGTGAGTTTCAAGCCGCCAGGTCTGGGACTCGGCGGTCAGCCCCACGGGAGTCCAGTGATGTAAACATTAAGCCACCTGCTGGTCTCCAGACAGCATTCTTACCACGGTTTCACCACTCCGCAGACGCCTGCCCCAGTCCTCGGCTGGTGAGGATCACAGGTGCGCTGCCATGCCCGGCCTGCTTCTGGCTGCTTCCAAAACCCAACCCAGGCCTTCCCTGCAGCTTCAGCCTCAGGTCGTGGCCCTACCACCTACGCCACCACAGGGATGAACGCATGGCGGGTGCATTCATTTCCACTGCTCTCTAAATTTCCTTTCACGTTCTAGGATGTTTATTTATTTTCTTCATGAGACGACAGACAGACAGACTCCCTTGACAAGGTCTTCGCACGTGATCTTTCCTGAGCCGGGTGGCCGGCCAGGGCCAGGGGCATGCCCGCGTGCTCAGGCCGACTAGGACGCAAACCAGCGCCCTCCTGCACGGTATGCTGAGGCTCGGCCCGGGCCGGGGTCACCCGGCCAGGTCGCTTTTCTCTCTGTCTCTAAGAAGCCAGGCCTCTTTCCAATAGTAGTGTGAAAGTTGTGGTAAGGCTTTATTATATATTTCATCACAGAATTAGAAAAATTTTAAAAATCATTATTTGGAGCCACATGTAATTGAGAAGAACATAACAACAGTCCCATCGAAAAGCATCCCATCCTGTTAGAGTGTCTCCTCACATTATGGAAGGCAGCTCTCCGTGCTCTGCAGTGACTGTTGCAACACCCACGGATCTCGAGGCTCCTCACTGGACGCGCTGACACACTCTGCCTTTAGGTGTGCTCGTGATTCACTTTTTCTTCAACAGGTCCGTCATTTCAGGAACCACCTGCAAATTAAGAAGAAAAGAGTGATTAAGCAACGTGGGCCTTCACCACGACCCGGCTGCCACTTCTTTTTTTTTTAGAGAGGTTTTTACTATAGGGCGCGTGTGCTCGCCAGAGAGACAGAAAGTGAGAAATCACCCCCCAGGGGGGATGGTCACGCCGCAATCCCTTCTCCTCCATTCTCCTCTCGGGATCTTGGGCACGCACGCACACGCGCCCAGTGTGAGTTTAAGCCACCGGGTCCGGGACTTGAACCGCAGTTGAATACATGGGAGTCTAGCGACATAGCCATTATGCTAACTGCTGGTCCCTTTTTTCTTTTTTTTTTTTTATTTTTTATTTTTCACGGTTGCCACTTCTTAAGTAGGATGCTGAGGTCAAGGGAACCAGGGAAGTCACCGTGGAGGCAGGCAGGGCCCCGGTTCCCACCAGGACCCCTGCCTCCTGTGGTCTCTCCTCGCTCCCTGGACAGGGCTGGACCAGGAGCCACTGGTGCCTGAGTGCCTTTCTGATAAGCTCCCAGGCCCTCTGGAGAGGGCGCCAGGGAAGACGGGCATGCGGGGCTGACGGTACTGTGGCCACGCTGTCCCTCGGTGCGTCCGGCGCTCTTGCTGCCCTCCTTCCAAGCCCACCCAGGTCTCCAGCTCAGTCGCAGCTCAGATGCGTCCTCTTGGCAAACGTCCGTCTGGCGTTCGTTCTACAGTGTGCTGGTGGCTCCCTGGGGCACACGGGCACAAGCTACAGTGGTGACACTCGGGATGGTGGCTCTTTATTAAAATCCAGACCTCATGCCGATGCTGCGGCTGGGTGGCAGACACAGAGAGGAGCCACCGCGAGGGGGACTGAGCGCCCCCT